GATGACACCTCTCCTCTGGGGCTCTCTTGTGGTCTTACCTACTGACAACATTTTCCCATCTTACTCCCTGTTTATCCTTCCCCACTGCCAGTCTCCTTAAACATCCCCTGCACTCCAACACCAGTATCTGCTCCCTATTTCTGACACATAATCCCAGCCTTTCTTCTTTTGCAAGAAACACTATTCCTCCTGTTTCATTTCACCCAAGAGGGGCCAGGGGTATCGTGCTTGAGGTCCCAGAAAAGCCAAAGTGTTTAAAGGGGGAACAGGCAAGTTCAGTGCATAGGGCCAGTGCAACCATAAGCAGATGGTCTGGATACATCCCCTGCTTGGGGAAGTCCCCACTCCCATGGCTGCCAGGAGTTGAGAAGCTGTAAGAAGAAGCAGCTGCTCTAAATATACCCTGGTCTGCAAGTGTCTGTTACTATTGTCAGAAAGAGCCACACCAGCCAAACCACTCCAGCTCACAGCAAGAACCAAAGCAGGAGCAGGACACAGCTCCAGGACCGACAGCCAGAGTTAAAACTCCAGCACTGGCTCTAGCCAAAGTTTTCCTGATAAAGCAAGACTCCTCTGCAAGGACACAGAGTTTTGGGAACTGGCAGCTCTCCCTGATGCTTCACCCAGTGCCATGGTCGTGCTGCAGGGTCCCGGGAACCTGGACCTGCCCATGACAACCCATGCTTGGGTTCCTGTGCCTGGGTCTCCTGCAGGCACAGTGCAACACAGGTGGGCTCCTCCAAGCTCACAGCTGCTGCAAACACTCCCATGAGAAACAGAGTGACTCCACCTGGAGAGAGGAGCCAGAAAAACCCCTGGGCAGCTGGGCTTCTTCTCCCAGGGAGGGACAGGGAGAGGTTTTCTGCCTTGCCTTTTCCATGTCCTAGGCAGTAGCAGCTCCTCTTCCTCTCCTTAGGGCTGGTCTGCAGCAGCACAGCTCGTTCCAACTCCTGGGTGGGTAATTATCCAGCTTGTGCTGCATGCAAGGGGAGCTGCCAGCCCAAGTTTCCAGGCAGCAGGAGCAGTCGGGGGGTGAGGGTGTGAGGTGGAGAAGAGCCTCCTGGGTATAAATAGCAACCAGATTGGGCTCGTTAGCATCTCATGCTCTTAACCCCTTCCTGAGCAGGGCTGCTCTAAGCTATCTCTGCAGGTCAAATAGCAAGGTGTGCTGTTATGGGAAGATGTTTCTGTCCTTAGAGACCCAAACAGCCCCATGGGCCAGTGATGAAGAGAGAAGACAACAATGGGGGAAAGACTGGGAGCCTGGGGAGGTCCAGCTGCATTGTCCAGCTACTGTTCTCCTGGGGTGGTTTCCTCCATTTTTAGCATTTCTTACTATTCACACATTTTACACACATTTCCTTCAGGTCTCAGCAATGCCCAGGTATATTTTGGGGCAGGGGAAAGGCCCCAGCTGCTGCTCTGACTGGGGTAGCCTGAAGCAGCTCCTGTGTGGGGCATCAGTCTTGCCAGAGCACAGGCTGGGGGAAAGGTGGTGGCTGGATCCTGTGAGGAGACATGCCACTGTGCCTCAGGCAGATGGAAGCTGACAGGTTTTTTCCAAACTGAAATATTTATAAGGCAGGAGCCACATGGCTTCCTAGTGGCCTCATGTCCTGATTTGCTTCGGGATGGATGCAGGTCCCTGGGAATAGCAAGGGGCCAGGAAAGAGCTCACCAAAGGGGAAACCTTTCAGCCCCCTGCTATGGGATGAGAGGCTGCAGAGGTCCTGTCCTACCCCCCAGTGCTTTCCCAGGAGCAGCAGGATCCCACTAAGGTTGACATATCCCAGGGTGCAGAGGAGAGGAGAGGGGGTTCATCTCCCCTCCTGCTGCCAGACCATCCCTGAGGACCAACAGGCTGCACCAGCACCACTCTTAAGCCTGGAGTTTGGGATTTATATCTATATATATATAATTATTTTTTTCTTTTTACTGCAGTTTTTTTTCCCCTCCCCTCTTTCTCTCCTTCTGGCTTATTTTTGTCTTTTGCAGGGGCTCAGGAGTTTTCCTGGAACAGCTTTTCCGAAGGAGGCTACTCTCAGATGGACGGTCGGTGGGAAAGTCTCCGCTTCCCCCCGCCATCGCTCTTCCCACACGCCCCGCGCTGCTGCTGCTGCTGCTCCGAGCTGCGCCGGCTTTTTGGAGCATGCAGAGGAACACAGGAGAGGAGTAAAAATAGTCCCTTGCAGCCTCCTGGAGCCCTGCTGCTCCCTGAGGGAGCTACGGCCAAGTGGGTTAGGTAGGACCTTCACTGATCTCCCTGTGCTTGGTGGCTGCTTTTCTTCCCATGACCCGGTTTGAGGAGGAACAGCGCTGCAGGGCTCCTGCTGCATCCCCGGGGTGGTGGGAAGGACTAACAGCCTGTGCTGCTGCTGTGGGCAGGGCTGGATCACGGATGGGGACCCCCGGGCCCCGGTGGGGGTGCAGGTGGGCAGCGGAGCCGGTGTGGGGAGGTGTGCGGGGGGAGCGGGGTGCGCTCACCGATGTTGGGGTGTTTCAGGAGGCGGCAGATCCGGGCTTCTCGTTCCAGCTTCTGGTGATCTGAAAGAGACAACGGCCCTAAATTAGGGTCTGGGGAAAGGGAATGAACCACTCTCAGCTCCTGCTGTGCCCTCTCAGAGGAGCTGCCAGCACAGGAAACCTGGGGGAACGGAGCAGCTGGCAAGGAGCAAACCTATCATCTTTTATTTTTTGCTAAAGGGCTTGGAGGCTTGTTCAGCATCAGGACCTGATGGGTGGTATCCCAGCATGGATGCAGCCTCCAGGCACTGATGCCATGGGGAGACCCAGGCTTTGGATGATCCCTCTTCCTCCTCTCTCCCTTCTCTTTGCTGAACAACTCAATCACCTCCAGAATGCCCCGGAGCTGGGTTACTGCTGCCAGCAGCACCTGCTCTGTTTTCTCTCACTCAGCCAAGCACAGGCCATCAGCAAGGACATTGCTAGCCCTGCATGGTACAACTTGAACAAGAGCAGGCCAGCGAGAGATGTCAAGCTGAAACAAGGCTACCTGCTTTGCTCCCTCTCCATCCCCAGCCATTTCGTATCAGGTCTTTGTTCTCCTACATCACAAAACTCTGGTTCTGAAAATTTGCTTCTCTCGAGTCCATGTCTGCAAACAGGCAGCACAGGTCCCTCTCCCTGGATTTCACCAGGCTCAGGGATGTGAGACAATTAAGCTCTGAGCAAAGCAGGTTAAGCTGAGCCAGAAAAGCCTCCAAGCTGGGAAAGCCCAGAGGAATTTTTTCAAATTATTTTGTTTGGTTTTCCCTGTCTCGGCACTTTTCTCCCTCCTTGTACCTGACCCAGCCACCTTGCATGGAGGTGCCTTGTCTGGAGGCATTCGTGCTATAGCAGGAGCCCAGCAGCCAGGAGAAGGGAGGATATAATTAGGGCTGCTCATCTCTCTGCGCTGTCGCTGCTACTTTGCAGGTTCACACCCCAGAGTCTCGCTCTGCATTGAACCAAACCTGAGTGTCTCCCACTGCTGAGACATGAAGGATCTGTAGCCCCACCCTGCTAGGGCTGGAGCCTTCCCAGAGGTTTAGTATCCCCCATCCAGCACCCACAGGGCTCAGCACGGGAGGTCACTGATCAGTGATCACTGGCTGCCTCAGTTTCCCCACTTGCAGGCTGGAGGCCCACGAGGCAGTCTGGCATTGCTGGTATCCAGTAGAGTTCCTGTGCTTTCTTAGAACAGGCCAGAGATCCCAGGAAAGGGATGTGAATGTGATCCCAAGTATGGAGCAAAACCCCACTTGGCTCCTGCTCCACGGCTGAGCCCCCCCAGCCTCTGTCCCCCTCTTTGTACCCTGGCACTCTGTCACCACCAAAAAGCCAGCATCCTCCTGCCCATGTGGCACATCCCGCTTGGGGAGATTGTCCCCACTTGGAGGGAACACCATGGGGAGCTGAATGAGGCCACTGAGTCTCTGTCCCAGCCTTCAGCTCATGGATCCCAGCACAGACTGCAAAACTCATCCCAAGCCCGGGGGTGTTGCCCATGCCAAGCCCTGAGGTCGCTGGATGGGGGATATTGAGCCCCAGGAAGTGCTGCAGGGGCCAGTGAGCCACGGCTGCAGCCCCTCTCTGAGCCCACAAATCCAGCTGCTGCCTGGACCCTAAACCCACTTCTTGAAAAAAGTCCAGTTGCTCTCTTCCTAGCTCCCTGTGTGAGCAGCTGGGAGGACACAGAAAAGCCCATGGGGATGTTTCACAGCTCCTTTCACCTTCCCCCAACCTTTCTCCTTCATCCCTCCTGCCCTTCACCCACGACACAGCCCATGGCACGTCCCAGTGGGGATGGGTCCCTTTGGGTTGTGCTCCTGGGGAAGGCTGTCCCCTCGTGCTAGCGCTGCAGAAACAGGGAGGCTTTCAAGAGAAGGGGATGAAGAAGGACAAACCGCCGGAGCAGGCGTTCGGAGGCAGGAGGGAGCAGAGGGAAGGCGGCTCAATCTGCTCCTCCGTGCAAACCGGGAGGCTCCTGCTGCCCGCCCCGCTGCCCGCCGGGGGGTGCCCAGCCCAGCCCCGCACCCCCCGCCCCGCACCCCCTGCCCCGGAGGATGAGGATGGTCTGCATCCCAAAGAGGGGCAGCGGGGTGTCACTGCTGTGCCACTTCGGCAGCGCTGCCGGAGGGAGATGGCGAAGCACTGGTTTGATTTGAGGTCAGAAAGGAGTTTATCACTGTTTTCTGCGGTGTGTTGGGGTTTTTTTTTGCCTTCAGAGGTGAGCAGTGGCGTCAGGGAAAGAAACCGAGGGAGGGAGTTAATTAAACCCTCTCAGCAGGGCGCTGGTTCCCATCACCCATCCTGCAGCCCCCAGCACATCCAGCCAGAGGAGCTGGAGCAGGGACACAGCAGCTGCTGTCCCATCCTCTCCATCCTCCTCACCACAGCTCCTCTGCAGATGCCTGGGGGCAGAGGGTCCCTGCCTCAGGGCCAAGGGCTGGCTGAAGCTTTCCTGTGCCAGCTCAGCTCAGCTGTGCCCCAAGGACCAGCCAGGACAAACCTGCCAGGGCTTCTTCCAGCAGCAAAGCAGCCAGCATGCTCCACCAGAGTGTTTAATTAGATGACAGTGAGGGGTAAGGACCAGTCTTCAGGCAGAAATGAAATCACTCCCCCACTCCAAGGACCTTCCCCTGTCACTGTTGTAGGTACACAAGTAAAAACACCTGCAGTCCCTGAGAGAGGGCACGGGCAGTCAGCAAAGGCCCTCTCAGGGAGGGGATGCTCCCCAAATAACTGTGCTACCCAGTGCCCAAGGCCAGCAACAGTTTGACTTGCTGCAAGTCTGTAACCATGATTTTGCCATGACACAGTGTGCAGGGTGGTGGTGGGGCCTCAGGAAGTCCTTACACCTCCCTGGGCAGATTGGGGTCCAGGACCTCCCCAGAGCCCTAGCACAGACAAGCTGCAGGAGCATTCCCACAATCGGATGGGATGCAGTAGGCAGCCACCAAATGTCTCCTCAGGACATTCATCCCATCCATCCAGGAGCTCAGTGTGTACCACAGTGGGGATGGGGTGGGATAAGTGGGCTCCCCACCACACATCAAACACACACCACCCTTGCCACACATCAAAGGCATCATCCCGGTGCCATGCAGAGGAGACAAATTCCCTGCTCTGCAAACCCTGCAAACCTCTCACCTCCCTGAAAACACCTAGCTCCTACCTCGAGCAGACAGCTTCTTGGTGTTGATGATCTTGGCCGCATACTCTTGTCCTGCCAGCACCTTCACGCATCTCCGGACGATGGAGAAGGCACCCCTAGGAAGACAAACCAGAGGGGGAGGTGACGAGCTTGGCATTGTCAAGGGCACAGCTCAGCCTTGAAGTGCCTGTGGGGCGAGGGGCAGCCTGTGGGATGGGGATGGCCATGGGTGCTGGCTGGGAAAGAGGCTTGGAGAAAACATGGCAGGGCTCTCAGTGATCTTCCCTGCACCCCTGTCCTTGAGGGATGGTGGGGGCAGGAACAGGTAGGCCTGGGGATGAATGCAGGATGCTCTGTAATCCCCTGGGACACCCCAGGCATCCTGCGCATTTCCTCCCCGCCCCCTCCCAGACTCTGCCCTACCTATCCCTCTGGAGCGAAGGGGCAGCAAGTTACCGGGGGATCGGCTCCTGAGGGACACCAGGACGGCTGCAGCAGTCACTCAGCACTTGGCCACTTCACCTCAGCTCATGTCTGTGTCTTTGCCTGCTCTAGACCTTGCAATCCCAGCTGCACCTTGCAGGAGCAGGTGTGACACCTGCCATGGGTGGGGCCCTTCCAGCTGCAAACCTCTGGCAGCAGCAGAGACCCTGTGAGCCAGGACCACTGGAGCCGAGCAGGACAGGGACTGACAATGCTGTGGCTTGCACACACATGAGCCAACATGCAGGATGTCTCCTGAGGCTTGGGATGCTCCAAAGAAGCCCCCCTGCACCCCAAGCCCTACCAGCCCGCGCCACCGCCAGCGCGCG